TAAAAGTGGTACAATGGGTGAAAAGGTTGAAAAGCCCTGGACTAGATGATCTCCAAGGTCCCTTCCAACTCTGGTACTGTATTCTGTTTTGCACCACCCATGAGCCAGGCGTCTCCTATAGAGGGATCGAAGGATTAAAAGCAGCTGAAGATAACTTCTCCTCAAATCTTGGAGTTGGAAAATAAACTCCGGTCTGTGTTTGTGGCGCTCAGTGGGAAGGGGAGAAAACCGCCACTGAAGCAGAGCCGGATGTGAAGTGGATCCCGGAGGGAATTTGCAGAAAAAAAGAACATTGCGTTATTTGGGTGACTCGTCTTGTCAAGGCTCTCAGCATGTTCGCAACATGGCAAGAGCTGTCACTGTGGTCTTGTTCCTGTAAGCAGCACCATCAGGGGAAGGATGTGAAGACAAAACAAGATGACAACCTTGGCCCAGCTGGGTGGGACCTTTCGGGATGAAAGTGAGCAGACGAATCAAGAAAAATAAAGTTTCCTCTGCATTCCCAATCCGCAAAGTTTTTATTATTATTATTCTCCTTTTGGAAAAAGCCAAGAAACCCTGCTGCAGACCAGGATCAGTGGTCGGATTCAGCCGGTTCACACCGGTTCTGCAGAACTGGTAGATAAATTTTGCTGCATTCAAAGAACTGGCTGGCTTCCAGAAGTCCAGTTTAAGCCTCGGAGGCCTGGGAGGCCTAGAATGGCCTACCGGAAGTGCGTGGATGCCACTTCAGGAAGTCCGTTCTAGGCCTTGGAGGCCTGCATCTCACGGATGGGGCTTTGCTTGTTTGTGCAGACTGGTTGCTGGCATGCCGTGGCTGGGTACTGGTCCACGGACCGGGGATTGGGGACCCCTGCTCTAAAACACTGTGAAGTGGTACATAAGTCTCAGTGCTATTCCTATCTATCTGTCTATCTATCTATCTATCTATCTATCTATCTATCTATCTATCTATCTATCTATCCATCCATCCATCTACCCATCTATCTAATCTATTCCAATCTATCTATTAGAACAGGGCTTTTCAACCTTTTCACCCATTGTACCACTTTTAGGATATGGCAATATCCCAGTACCACCAGTCGCCTAGCAAGGGGTCAAAAACTTAAATGACCAAAAAAAAAAAAAGGAAAAAAGTGATAAAGTACAGGTAGTCCTCAACTTACAACATTTCGCTTAGTGACTGTTTGAAGTTACAATGGCACTGAAAAAAGTGCCCCCCAAGCCACAGCCGAGCAAGACACCTGCCTGCCCACCCAGTGGCGCTCTTCCTCCTGTCCGAGGTTTTCATTGTTGTGAGCATTTCTGTTGAGGATTGGCAGCGGGGATGGGGTGGGTGTTTGGTTTTTATTCCCCCCGTCTGCTGGGTGGTTGCAGCAGGTTTTGGTAACTTCACATGACCCTGGGACACTGTGACCGTCATAAATATGAATCAATTACCAAGTATCTGAATATAAATCACAAGACCCTGGAGATGCTGCAACATTCCTGCTGATCGGTGCTTCTTCTGGGCTCAGCGGAAGCACCAGGATCAGTGCTGCTTTCCAGCTGATTGGTGCTTCTTCAGGGCTCAGCAGAAGCACCAAGATCAGCGCTGAGCTCCAGCTGGAGCCTGGTGCTGATCCTGGCGCTTCCACTGAGCCCTGACAGGTCCGAAGAAGCGCCGATCAGTTGGAAAGCTGCATTGATCCTGGCGCTTCCGATGAGCCCTGACAGCCTTGCAGCTCCAGCCATCTCTCACTCAGGTTTGTCTGGTGCTGCCACCGGTTCAGCTCATTCCCCTCCCCCACTACTTTTCTATTATGGTTGTGTACCACCTGCCAGGTGCCAATGTACCACAGGGGGTACCCGTACCACTGGTTGAAAAGCCCTGTATTAGAATGTAGTAGTGCAAGCTAACTCTGCCCACTGCCACCAGTTTAATCCTGACTGGCTCAAGGTTTGGTGGCACCTAAATTGAATTTAAAAAAAGAAATTCCCATCATTTCTGATGTAAAAGGCCTCTGTCTCCCCCCAATCCCTGTATCATCTGCCTATCATTGCGGTTGCCCTCAGGGGGGGCAGGGGGCATGGCCAAGGTAGGTGCGGCCTACTGGGTGGGTGTGGATGGAGTGGGCATGGCCTATTGGGTGGGCGTGGCCAGCTCTACATCGTTCGTGTCAAGGGTGCCTGTGGGGGCCTGGGCAGGAGTGGGACAGATCTGAGGGTCTCTGGCCGAAGGGGGGGGGACCGGGGCAAGCACCAAGGCATGGTCCATTTCTTCATTCCTCACAAAGGGTGACACCTCCCCAGCATGCACTCAGGGGGCGGGGCCGACACAGTAGGGGCTGGTTCCTCGCTGTTTCCAGACAGCGTTGTGGCGCTAAGACTGAATGCGTTTCAGCATAGATGGCCACCACAAAATTGTACATTGGGTCCCGGCCGGCCTGGGCCAGGGCCAAGGCAGAGGGGGCCGTTCCCTCACTGTTTCCAGGATGGCTTCGCGGGCCACATGAAACCACTTCGCGGGCCGCATCCGGCCCCCGGGCCTTGTGTTTGACATGTCTGCTTTAAGGCAATATATGAAGAAGACTGGCTGAGAACTAGGTTTATTTCTCCCGTATTAACCTGGCTTACAGTGTGTTTCTGTGCATGAGAGGAAAACAGTTGATTATATTTCTAAAAATAATTTCTTCAGGTAAAAAAACAAACAAAGAAAATGGCCTTGAAAATGATTTATAAAATCTTCTTTTAAAATAAAATAATAAAAGCACTGAACTGAACAAACCATTGCTCAAATTAAATCATCCCCTGAACACACAGCCACATGTCAGAATGGATGAAATAGTCATTTTATTTATTCATTCGCTTATTATCTCTAGCCTGTCTTTATTATTTTTATTTTAAAAAATCCACCTCATTGATAGAAGTTAAGTTATTCCCAACTCGACATGCATATGGTGGCATTATAAAGGCATCGCTTAAACATGATAATTAAAAAAAAAAAATTAAGTCACTGCCATTTCTACGCAAGGAGTTCTGTCAATTCTATATTATTTTTTATTTTATTTTAGATTTTTTTTTAAATCTTGCTTTTATAATTTTTATATGCCTCAAGTCAGAGGAACTCTCTTTTAAGGAGCTTTGGCTGACCATGGAGATATTTTGATAATCATCATCATCATCATCATCAATTGCAAAAGGCGGCCTTACTAGGAACCGCTTCCATCCTGCGACGATATCTGTAATACCATCAAACATCCACATCTGCCTATCCCAGGTCCTTGAGAAGGACTCGATAGGTAGACAAAAATGCCAAATCCAGTCTGAACATCTGGCTGACTGTGCAATGATCAATAATAATTAATAATTAATAATAAAGTTGGAAGGGACCTTGGAGGTCATCTAGTCCAACCTCCTCCTCAGGCAGGAAACCCTATACCATTTCGGACAAATGGCAGTCCAGTCTCTTCTTAAAAACTTCCAGTGTTGGAGCATTCACTGCTTCTGGAGGCAGGTAGTTCCACTGGTTAATTGTTCTGTCATATTCCTGGCCACATAATAAAAGCAGCTTCCCTTAACTTTTGTCCAGGACCTTCTTTTATCTTTGCAGTCTGGCCTACACTCTGGATATCTCTAGGTGGTCTCCCATCCCGAGGCCTAGCTACCATCCGCATCACTTATCTTCTTGAAATCAGCTGTGATTGGCCGAGTTCTGCAGTGCAGAGTCTACCATCAGCTATCCTGTGCTAGGTTGCCAGCAATTTCTTCTATTTTTCTGGTTGCTGGTCTTTACGGATGTCTGTTTGGGCTATCGAAGGATCCAGCTGGACTCCGAGAAGCTGTTAATGGCTTTATAAAACAATTTACCTCTGAGCACCGAGAGGGTTTCATTCGCCCGAAGGTAATTTCTTCACTCCAAACAGCAATTTTCAGGCTGCAAGCAGGGAACCATGCAGCGATGATGGCTGGATGATATGGAAAAGATTTGATCCTGGTTTATTCTTGCCTACCTTTATTTTTGCTGCCGGCAAGGCAGACCGGCCGGCTGACTTGAGGGTATTTTGCACCTGGAGGATTGATGTGGTAAATCAACTGTGGAAAGAAAAACCTTCATCAGGGTCCAGTCCAAGCTGGGAATAATCAAAATGGAGACTGCTTTAGAAAGAAGGTTGTAGTTTATTGAAGAGGAGAGCCAGACAGAAAGATGGCTCTGGAAGAAAAGAAAAGTGAGCATAAGTAGGGAAAGGGTTTTTATACCCTCTGGAGCCTTTTGTTTGGAGTTGTTCCTGTGGCATGAACTTTGACCTGAGTCTGAGTGTGCCTTTCTGGTATTCTGATGGTGGTGGGTTAATCCTATTATGTCCCAAAGATCATATCCTGCTTCCCTGTGGCTGAGGGCTGATGAGTGTTGGATTTTTTTGGTGTGAGGGATTGTTGATTCTAGAGATCTTTATCTTTCTAATCCCAGCTTCCTATCTCCAATCTTTCTGACAAGATCATCACCTCTGCATTTCTGCAGACCTGGTTTCTGTTTGGAGCAGAGAGACTTCGGTTGGGGGGGGGGGTTCTGCCTTTAAGATCCTTTGGGGAAATATAATATTCTGCCTTTTTTAACATTTCCCAAAATATTTCTTTCTCTGGATTCTTCCCACACAACCTTGCCTTGGGATTGTGCTTTTCAGGTCCTTTTTTGTGCTTCCTCGTGTTTTACAGAGGGCAGACAGAAGATGGGGCTCACAAAGGAGCAAAATAAGGATCACGGGACTTCTGCTTTATGATGTTAGAAAGATCTATTTTTTATGGTTTTAGTAATAGTAGTAAAGTTGGAAGGGACCTTGGAGGTCATCTAGTCCAACCCCCTGCTCAGGCAGGAAACCCTACACCATTTCGGACAAATGGCTGTCCAGTCTCTTCTTAAAAACTTCCAGTGTTGGAGCATTTACTGCGTCTGGAGGCAGGCTGTTCCACTGATTAATTGTTCTCATTGTCAGGAAGTTTCTCCTTAGTTCTAGGTTGCTTCTCTCCTTGATTAGTTTCCATCCGTTGCTTCTTGTCCTGCCTTCGGGCGCTTTGGAGAATAGCTTGACTCCCTCTTCTTTATGGCAGCCCCTTTATTATTGCTTTTAAGGTTGTTAGCTGTCTTGGGTCACCTATGGTGAGATGGATGGCAAATACATGTAATAGATAAATAATAAATAAAATAAACAAATTGATTAGGCTCAAGGAAAAAATGTTTGGAGTAAGAGCCATTTGGAATCAAACCCCTTGCCATAAAAATTCTGCAGTGGCTGGATTTCTACACCTCCTCATACAAAGGCAAAATTAGTTGGGAGTTGGGTGGCACTGTCTGTCTGTCTGTCTATCTATCTGTCTCATTTACCTATCTATCATTTATCTATCATCTATCAATCATTTGACTGTCTGTCTGTCTGTCTGTCTGTCTATCTATCTATCTATCTATCTATCATCTATCTCAATTACCTATCTATCATTTATCTATCATCTATCATCTATCATTTGACTATATCTATCTATCTATCTATCTATCTATCTATCTATCTATCTATCTATCTATCTATCTATCTACCTACCGTATATTCCGGCATATAAGACGACTGGGCATATAAGATGACCCCCAACTTTTGAGAAGATTTTCAGGGTTTAGAAAGTCGTCTTATACGCCGGAAAATACTGTATCTATCTAATCTATCTATCTATCTATCTATCTATCTATCTATCTATCTATCTATCTATCTATCTATCTATCTATCATCTGTTTCTATTTGTCTGTCTGTCTGCCTTTCATATCTATCTATCTATCTATCTATCTATCTATCTATCTATCTATCTATCTATCTATCATGTTTCTATTTGTCTGTCTGTCTGCCTTTCATATCTATCTATCTATCTATCTATCTATCTATCTATCTATCTATCTATCTATCATCTGTTTCTATTTGTCTGTCTGTCTGCCTTTCATATCTATCTATCTATCTATCTATCTATCTATCTATCTATCTATCTACCATCTATCTCTATTTATCTGTCTCTATGCCTTTCATTTCTAACTATCTATCTATCATCATCTATCTACATTTGACTATATCTGTCTGTCTGTCTGTCTACCTACCTACCTACCTACCTACCTACCTATCTATCTATCTACCTACCTACCTACAAGTCTTCAACAGGATGATCTATTTAGTGATGGTTATACTTACAAGGGTGCTGAAAAAAGTGACTTATGACCACTCTTTGCACTTTTAACCATCACTCTATGATCACGTGATCAAAATTGGGTTGTGTGGCAACTAGCATGTATTTTTGATCATTGCAGCATCCTGGGGTCATGTGGATTGTCATTTGGACCTTCCCCATTTTTTATTATTATTTTTTTAATCCTGGAAGCGTTTGGCCACAGGTTTGGCTCTTTCGTTTCCCACAGTGAAGCGGCCTGGACACAGGCATCAAATGAAACCAGCCGCTCGTGTCTTTTTTTTCCCCTCTCCCCCAATTAAATTTTTTTTAAAAAGTTGCATATAAACAGCAGTCATTACATTTTAAAAGAAAAAAAAGCTTGTGGTGTAGTAATTTACATTAAAGAAGCTCGAAGTGGAAAAAATATATGTGTCACAGAATGAATGCCTGGTAATTTGCATTAAAAATATAACTGGTCGTTAACGTAGTAATTGACGTCAATGGGAGCCATTGCATAGAAAAGGCCTGTTTGTGAGGAGACAGAGCAAATATACACAGATATTATGTTCAAAACACCCTCTTGATAATAGAAGAGCCAAATGCATTTTTCCTCTTTGCCCTGACAAGCTCATCTTTACCCACAATGCATCTGACCCATAGGTAGTCCTCAAATGACCACCGCAGTTGGGTCCGGGAAAGCAATTGCTAAGTGAGTTGCTCCCAATTTTATGACCTTTTCTGCCACCGTTGTTAAAGCGAATCGCCGCAGTTCAGTAAATCATGCCATCATTAAGCGAATCCGGCTTCCCCCGTTGATGGATTTGCTTGAGGGAAGCCAGCTGGGAAGGTTGCAAAGGGGAGATCACGTGATCCTGGGATGTTGCAACCATAGTAAAGTTGATGACAGGTGCACTGAGATGTGGTGACGGTCGTAAGTGTGAGGACAGGTCATTGGTCATTTTTTTTCAGTGTCATTGTACCATATAACAACAATAACAACAACAACAACAATAATAATAATAGTAATAATAATAATAAAGTTGTGATATGCAGGTTCTGAGGTTTTGCTGGTTAAAGAAATACAGGAGACTAGAAGTTGCCTTCAAGTTTACGTGTTTATTCAGCTGAATAGAGACGGGCTTCTGTATAAAAGACCCCAAAGACCCAAATAGCAAAGAAAGCTTATTTTTATAGTCACTTTGGTTACATAAGCAATTCACCCAGCTAGGCTGGCACACATAAGATTAAGACTTCGCCTTTTAAGGCTGGCACATTATACATAAGAAAAGCAGAAGTAGCTAGTATGTTCTCTCAAAGGAGTTTCCCCAAGACCATATGTTCAGTCTTGGGTGTGGTAGGTGTTGTCCCAAGATGCCAGATGTTCTTGGGTGGGTTTAGAACATTGCGTGTTTCTTTGCTGTCCTTTCATGACCCTTCATTCATAGGCCCTCAAGTGACCAGAGACCAGAGGGGCCATCTGTATATTGATACTGTCCCTTGAGTCCTGGTCACCAGTTGGAAGGGACATTGGAGGTCATCCAATCCAACCCTCTGATCAGGCAGGAAACCCTATACCATTTCAGACAAATGGCATCCAGTCTCTTCTTAAAAACTTCCAGTGTTGGAGCATTCACCGCTTCTGGAGGCAGGTTGTTCCACTGGTTAATTGTTCTCACTGTCAGGAAATTTCTCCTTAGTTCTAGGTTGCTTCTCTCTTTGGTTAATTTCCATCCGTTGCTTCTTGTCCTGCCTTCTGGTGCTTTGGAGAATAGGTTGACTGCCTCTTCTTTGGGGCAGCCCCTGAGATATTGGAATACTGCTATCATGTCACTGGGAGTCCTTCTCTTCATTAAACTAGAGTCACATACCCAATTCCAGCAACCGTTCCTTATATGTTTTAGCCTCCAGTCCCCTGATCATCTTTGTTGCTCTTCTCTGTACTCTTTCTAGAGTCTCAACATCTTTTTTACATTGCGGTGACCAAAACTGGATGCAGGATTCCAAGTGTGGCCTTACCAAGGCATTGTAAAGTGGTATTAACACTTTACGTGATCTTGATTCTATCCCTCTGTTAACGCAGCCTAGGACTGCATTTCTTTCTTTCTTTCTTTCTTTCTTTCTTTCTTTCTTTCTTTCTTTCTTTCTTTCTTTCTTTCTTTCTTTCTTTCTTTCTTCCTTCCTTCCTTCCTTCCTTCCTTCCTTCCTTCCTTCCTTCCTTCCTTCCTTCCTTCCTTCCTTCCACTTGTTATGCTGTTCATCTTGCCGAGAGGTGACTTTGAATGATTACTAAATGAATGCTTCTAATTCGAGGACTACCCCTAGGTCAGTGGTTCTCAACCTGTGGGTCGGGACCCCATTTGGGGTCGAACGACCATTTCACGGGGGTCGCCAAACAACGCAGTCCGCCATTTTTTCCCCTTCTTCCTTAGCTGTGCTACTCCCTTTTATTCTATTGGCTTTTGAAAGCCAATAGAATAGACTCTCTTGAATAGAGTCTAATTCTATTGGCTTTCAAAAGCAATAGGAATTGTCCAGGCTGTCTCTGCCCTGCTGAGCCCGCCAAAAGTCCCATTCTGCAAACGATGCTGCACCAGTTGAGTAGTCCTCAACTTACGACCGGTTGAGTAGTCCTCGACTTACGACCGGTTGGGGGTCGCGGCATTAAAAAGGTTGAGAACCACTGCCCTAGAGTGACATAAGGGGGTCTTATCAACGCAAGACGCCTGCCTTTGAGACAGTGGGAACGTCTCCGCTTGACTTGCCATAAAGCAGCTTCAACTCCAGCTTCGGAAATCAACCAAATGAGAAAACTGCAGATAGTTAGGTCTGTGGAGTTCCTCAGGCAGCCAACACAACGTACGTGCATACTTCAAACCCAAGAATACACTAAGGCAGAAGCTCGTCCACTCCAAGGATAAAACACCTAGACAAAAGTGAGCAGCGTGGTATATGCAATACAATGCAGTGAGCCCTATGCAGATTTGTACATTGGAGAAACAAAACAACCCCTTCATAAACCCATAGCACAACCTAGGGGAACAAACCCATCAGTCCATTCTGCATTTGAAAGACTAAGGCCCCTCTTTCGAAGACAGCAAAGTCCACATTTTGGAGAGAGAGCACCGCTGGTTTGAAAGAGGGGCCAAAGAGACCATCTGTGTCAAAATTGAACAGCCCTCTCTCAACAGAGGGGGAGGGATACGACATCATCCATCTCCAGTCTATAACACGGTCCTTTCAGCAGCTCCAAGAAGGCTCCACACCCATTTGCCCCACTCAGGTGACCCTGAAGACACAGGCAAACCTCCAGGTGGCCTCAAGGACCCTCTAAAACAGGGGTGTCAAACTGCTGGCCCAATGACCGGATGCATCATACCGAAACCATGCCCGCCCCAGGACTGGCAATGGGGAAAAAATCGCGATACATCGTGATATGTCACGTGACATGGAGAGTTTGACACCCCTGTTTGCAAGGAGTATAAATCCTTCCATTCCTCACCATCCAGTCAGAGCTGAAGAAGCTTCTGGGATGAGAAGTGAAATGTCTTCAAAGAAAAAACACCAAGAAAGTCCAGTTGCCTCCCGAAAAAGCATCTTTGGTACAGATATTTACCCAAGGGCAGATGGATAACACCAAATAGGGCTAAAAGTCTATCCGTGGGTAACTGTATACAGATAGTTCTCAACATATGACCACTGTTGAGCCCACAAATATGGTTGCTAAGCAAGACAGTAGTTAAGTAAATTTGGCCCCATTTTATGACCTTTCTTGCCACAGTTCTTAAGTTAATCCCTTTTATACTCAGGCTCTTAAAGGGATACAGACCCTGCTGAGTCATTCCTATCATTGCATCATCTACCTTATATTACATTACATCATTACATCTTCTTATATCATTACAGACGTTGTTTAGCTGTTAAATCGTTAACTTGACAAACAACAACCTTGTGA